CGCGGGAGCCTCCATCACGCAGGCCCTGCACCCGCCGCCAGACCGGAGACCTGGGCCGCCTGGGTTTGCTAGGCGCCACCACCAGTGTCTGGCACGGGGCGGGCAGAGCTTTGCTGAGCCAGAGCTACCTTCCTCCCCTGTGGCTCTTCTCCAGGTGCGGCCCCTGGGTTGCCAGAGGGCGCAGGGAACCTATGTGGGGTTTGGTTTCGTACTTGAGGATTTTCCCAGGAGGAGGTCAGATCGTGGGAACCTGTCTCCTCCATAGCTCTCTCCTGGATCCCAGACTCTCTGGCACTCTGCTGTCTGGATGGTGGTAGACGCACTGCCCTGGCTGGGGCTTTCATTCCATGCCCAGGATCCTGGCAGGTGCACACGGGGAGGCAGAGGAGCCCAGTGACTGTGCTCTGCGGACAGCCCTCACTTCAGGCTTAAACCCTTTGCAATCCAGGGTGTTCCTGGCAAGCCAAAAATATCTTCTGTCTCTGCCCCAGTGCCCAGTTTGGTCACCATTCTAGGGGCACGCAGCCCCGTAGTAATGGGCCAGCCCTTTCTTTATTCCCTTCTTCCCTCCCTCTGTTTTTTTGGGGGGGCCTGCATGGCAGGGTGCCCCCGGGAGAAAAGGGGGGAGGAAAGGTGCTATGTGCTCAGCTCACGCATTGCAGGATCCTCTTTCCTCTGCAGGGGTGGGACGGGCATGCTCCCAGCCCAGCCTTAGGGATGGAGGTCTTTGGGGGCCCAGGAAGACAGGAGCAGGGGAGGCCAGCCTCAGAAGAAAGAGCGGAAGGGGGCAGGACCATGTCCCTCACCTGCCCCTCACGCTGTGAAATTGACTTGCACCAGGGGACTCCTCACTGCCCTGAGGGGAAGCCTCAAGCCCGCCTGCCCTTTCTTGGGTTCAGTGTGTAATAATGCAATTAAGGATGGCAAAGCCCTCTTCTCTTCTAATCTTCTTCGTATTAAGCCCCAGGATTAATTAGCGTGTCGGCCCAGGCCATTTATATCCGAGAGTCTGGCCCCATTTGATTTTCAGCCCGAGGACTGGGGCGCTGTGCGCATGCCAAATGTGACCACCAGAGCCGCGCCAGCCTGGACGGAGGATGGGAAGGCTCCGGGGCCACTGGGCCTCTCTGGAGCTTCCTGGGGAGTTGAACTCCCATCCTTCTGAGCCCAGGCTCAAGCCTCAGCTGGCGTCAGGGAACTACAGTGGACACAGCACAGAAAGAGAAAGATTCTCTTGCTGAAACCCAAACATCCCGCCCTGGCTGGGCCCTGTGCCACCTCCCTTTTCTCCTCCCTCCCCACCGCTGTGATCTCCAGGCTCTGGCGGGAGCTGCAGGAATTGAGGTCCCAGAAATTGGGCTCAGAAGTATGCTGTGTGCTGTGGTTCTTGAGACGGGTGCCTGAGCCGCTTGGAGCCGAATCCTCCTTCAGCAGGCAGGCAGGCAGGCAGGCTTGGCGAGCACCAGCCAGGCAGAGGGTTCCCTGCAGGTGTGCAAAGGGCTCTGTGTGCTGGGGAGCAGTGTACCGCCCCCTCTCTTTGTGCCTCTTTTGGGGGCTGAAATTTCCTCTTAGACAAGGAGATGGATCGCTCAGCAGTGTGACAGAGTGTTCAAACAATCCGTCTTGAATAGATGAATTGCATTGCTCTGTCTTTTTGTAATTGTGTCTATCAGAGGGAGAGGTCAAGGCATTGATTGCTTGGATGGTTTGCAAGTAACAAAGGAGAGTGAGGGAGAGAGAGTAATTGGATTGTCGTCTGCGGGTGGAAAAATGATCATTGATTATTTTATATGAATATGTGGAAGATGTATTCTGCGTGTGATTACCAGGTACTGCTCACTGAAGGTTTTCAAGGCATACTGTTCAGTATTTTGTTACTATTATTATCATCGCTATTATTGTTCAGCTGGATGCTGGTCTTAGCTCATGGAAAGCTGTTGAATGCATGGGTCTTCTCAGCCAGAAGGGCTCAGTGACCTCATGTGGGGACCTGGATTTCCTGGTTACATGACTCAGAACCTGAAGTGGAGGGGCCTTAGCCTGGGAGCCAGGAGCCCTGGGTTTTTTGCTCTATCTTCTGCCGGTTTACTGGGCCACCTTGTTCAAATCGTACTCTCCCTCCTAACCTTGATTGAGCCTGTTTCCCGATCTGTAAACTGTTGGGTTGGCCGTGATGGTCCCGGCTATTCCGAGGCTTCCAGGTTCCCTTTAGTGCAGGCTGGCGGGGATGTCAGCACCATTGTAGATCTGTTGCTTAGATTCGTTGTGTTTCATGAGGCTCCCTCATGTTACATACATACTGTAGGATCGAGGGCCAGCCTGGAATTTGAAAAGGGAATCAGACAGCGGTGGCAGCAGCTGGGGAGCTCGAATGGATGGTGCTGATCTCTAGCCAGCCAGGGGTGAGGTTCAGAGCCAAATGACTGCAGAGACATAAAGCAGGTGTGTGTGTGTGTGTGTGTGTGTGTGTGTGTGTGTGGTGGGGGGGGGCAGGGGTGGAGAGAAAGGCTGGCTCAGCTTCCGACTCTCTGAGCATCTACAGGCGAAGTAGATTGGAGCTATGAGGCCCCCTGATCCTTTGCTGGGGGGCCCAGCAGGCACCTGCAGCCTGCCCCAGGGGAGTGAGGTCCCCTCCCCCAGAGTTCCCAAACCAGCCCCGTCTGCATCTCCTCCCATGATTTCACCCAAATGGTCCTGAACGTTTGTCTCCTGAGTTTGGGAGCCGCTGCCTCTAAAAAAATGAGGAATTTCTCGCAGTGACTGCTGATGTGCTGAAACATCACGGCCTTGTAGAAGCAGACAGGAGCTGAATGAAGATCAATAGGGGTTTCCCCCCTGGACGTAAATAGCTTCAGACCTGGGAGTGGCCGGAGGGGCCTTAGAAAGCATTAACTTGAGGTATTTCTGCCTCCACTTTCTAGCCCAGCTGCTCCTGTCAGCCCAGGCATCCCTCCTTCTCAAGCTGGAGTTTAATTTCTTCTCGATGCCTGCCTTGTGCTGCGCTAAATAGTCTCTTGACGTCAGGATGATCTGGGGTTTATGCAGGCACCGAGTCCTCACTAGCCCCTTCCAAGGTCACTGCATCCCCCTCCCTCGGGCACACCAGCTGATTTCAGAAATCCAGCCCTGCCGTGTTATTTGGAAGGACTTTTCGGGGGCCACTCCTTATCCCCTCCCCCTTCAGGAAAGCAAGGCTGCTGAGCTGCTTTTAGGATCCTTTGTGGGCCTCACTGAGTCACTGCGTTCCACGAGCACTCTCTGTCCTTGCCCCAGGAAACAGAGTCCACTCGTGGCGGGGGCGGGGAGGGGGGTGTGGAGGGTGGGAGAGGCACGGGTGCCCCTGTGGGCACTAGAACAACCTCTCCTCTTGGGGGAGGTGCAGGGTTGTATGTAGAAGAGGCTGCAGGGCTGCTTGGGGTGCTCTTTTAGGGGGAGATATGGTTGTGTTCAACCAGGGAGGGCAAGCTTCCCCCACCCTGTAACTAACGGCTGGCCTTGCCTCTGCCTCCCATGGTTTTAGCCTGAGCCCCGCTTTGCTTGCTCAGGACTCTCCAGAGGGAACAGAGAAAGCCGCTGCTCCACTTGGCTGGGCAGCAGCAGAGGGGAGCCCAGAGCTCCCAGGCCCTGCCTGGCAACAGAGAGGACTGCAGCTCCAGGCTCAGGGCTCTTCCTCTGGGGCCGGCACCCAGCAGGCCCCGCTTGTCTTCCCCAGGCTGGTGTGATGGGGTTGGAGCTTTGGCTGGGTGGGTGGACCCAGGGCCTGATTGATGCGATGGGGGCCTTGTGTGAGCTTGTGGGCTTGAATAGCTCTTCTCCCAGGTGCTGATCCCCAGCAGTTGCACCAGGGGGCAGTGTGTCTGTGCCCAGGTGGCTGGTTGGGCCACATCTCCTGCCTGGGAACCCACCTTGGTCTGCAGCACAAATGAGTAAAACAACAACAATACACTGGCCCCAAGTTATTTGAGCCCGTATTCACTGCTAGGCACTGTGCTAAGTGCTTTTCACACAATGACTAGTGATGTGGGTGAATAGTGCATGTTCAATAAGTGTAGCTGTTGCATTTCCCCCATCA